TTTGGTGACCGTTTTCTACTCCATAATATCCGTGATATTTTTTTCGAGCTCATGTAATTGTCGAGCAAACAAACAAATAAACCCCAAACCAGCACCAGATGCTCATTAAAGGCGACAAAGCAGATTTTGTTCAGACGACTGCAGTAAGGGAGGGAGACTGCAGTATTAGCAGAGCTCAACTCCAAGAAAAGGGCAGCTGCAGTTGTTAAGGGGGAATAGATAGGGAACCAAGAGGGATTGTGGAGGATTAAAAAAGGTGCGACAACAGAGACCAAAGGCTATGCCAAAATGAAGAATTACAGAATGGGGTGAGCTGAGAACTGCTAAATGTGGTTGGGCAAGGTGGGTTGGGATGATGTAGCATTTGCAGTTTGGCAGCTCTGAATTGTCTTCAGTAAAGCCTCAGCACGAAGGCTGGGGCGCCTTTGGGGACACAGCCTAGTGAAGATGGTGGCCAAGCTAAAGTCTGGTCAGGTCTCAGTGCAATGTCCAGGAAGAGCCTTTGTGCTGTGTTGGAGTCCAACAATTCACATAATTTTGTTGAGGCTTCATTTAATTTAGCTCTGTTTCACTTTAAAGAGAGGTGAAAACATTTGGCGTTCTCAGTATTTCTAATCATGGTGATGGAAATTATTTAGATATTGAAAACCACTATACATTTTTTTTCTGGACATGATTATATAAACCTGGAATCCATTGGACTTCCTGAATGTACAGTAGCACTTGACTGTCAAGAACTGTGAGCGGAGCCGTGTTTGAAACAAATTCCAGGGTGTAAATGCGCTAACTACCAGCTGGAAAGAAATAATTGCTGTTCAATTTTGTCAACACTAATGTTTATGAAGCCACATTATACTCCACTTGATCATGTGCAAATTATCTATTATAATTTTTACAACATAGGAAAATTACTACATTTGTTTTCTCATAGACATGACAGATAAAACTAATATAGTTCATGATAGACATAAAGCTGGATATTTTTATGTTTCCCCTAGAGTTTCAGCGCCACATTTGTGAAGATGTGCACTCTTTGAATGTATGGGAGGACCTATAAATAAGAGATATCGGGGTTTCTACACTAAACCTCATGTCCTTTTTTCAGAAACAAATATTACCAAAAGTTGCCCATATTTTTGGTTTAATTCTAACCAGATTAAATATTTAGTTCGTCCGCTGGTTATCATGCAGGTACTCAGGAGCTCCTGAGAGCATTCTGTTTTCACAGCAGAGAAGGGCATCAGAGGTAACGGTGAAGACTGAGTCAGCAAGAGAAGCATTAAATTTTGATGACCAGCTATATGTATGAATAAAGAAATAAGGGGGCTTAAACATTTAAGTTCCAAATTATTTTTAATAAAGTCACAGGGCTGTAAAATTTTAGTTAACCTAGAAAAATTCATCTATATAAAAATTAATCCCTTTGTGTTGATAAAACTATATGCTTCTCTAAAAAAAATTCTATGTTTAATGAATACCCAATCTTCCTGAACTCAACCAGTCATTGGACCAGTCACTGATTTACTTGTTTGTTTATTCAATAAATATATATTGAGCACATATTATGAACTATGAACTGTTCTAATAAAAATTAAAGACAGCTGCAATTGGTATGGTACTTCGAGGAAGATACACAATTGAAGAGATGAGACCCACAGTGATTCTGAAAGGAAGACCACAGTTGGAGCATTTAGCCCCACACCCGTGGGTACGGCCACATAATCAGTGACGTGTATAGTGTAAATTCAACAGTTTGAGTGACAGCAGACTCAAGGAGCTCAGTGGGTTTTCCTATATTAGAATATATTAGACCTTCCTGGGACACTGGTAACAATTCATGAGGAAGAGAAAGAGAGAGTTATCTTAGAGAGGTGAGGATTTGTGAATTGTTATGCTAGTCATGATCGATTTCAGCACATTGACTAACACTATCAAAGTATAGAGCTTTATAATCTATTTTGAATTAAAATATTTAGAGAAAAATAACAGACATGACTGATTCTGAATTCATGAGGCTCTGACATTTATGAGCTGCCTCAAAATTTCACACCTAATTTTTTGAAAAGTATATTCCTCACCTGGGAAAGCACCACTATTATTCAACAAAGCAGAACCCTTACCTTTACCAAGAGTGGCTCTCGAAGGGCCACTGGCAGGAAAGCCAGCTGTGGCTCCGATGCACACTGAGTTATCTTCCCTCCTTAGGCCCATCTTTACTCATTGACTTTCCTCTGCCCAGAATGTTCCCCTCAATTCTAGAAACTTCCACCCATTCAAATTCTTCCCCTAAAATCCTACCCCAGAAAGGCCATCTCAAACACCAATATCATTTTCAGGATGACCTCTCTACTACTTACAGCCCTGACAACACATTTTTAGCACTTAATGTATTATTTCGTACCATAATTATGTTAGTTAATTGTGTCATTATCCTACCTGGTTTTAAAAGTACTTGAAAGTAAAGACTGTGTCTTGTTTGTCTTTGCATCCTTCAGAGAGAGAGCTTGCACAAACCCTGCACATTTGTGCTTAATATGTGTTAGCTGAATAATCTGTAGGATTCCTTTGTATATTCCTATTCTGTTTCTCTAAAAGAGAACAATAGAACAATAAATTTGACATTTAGTTTTTACACCTAGCTTCCCCATGTATAACCATTCTATTAAAGTTTTGTCTTTTACATTGTTGTGTTGTGCCCATGAAAAAATATTTAAAGAGGAAGTTACTATCAAGCACAGTCACTTTTTTATTCTAATAGCCTAAATCATCTTGGTCCAGTGAGGGCTGGGGAGAATGGGGTCAGATGCTTCTCTTCTGGAGAAGAAGGAAAAGTGTAAACTGGGAAAGATACTTGTGAATGGCCACCTCCTCAGATTTACTTCTCAAGGATTCATCAAATATTATATAACCTGCAAGTTAAAAGAAAGGAAGGTTTAAATGAAAACTATGACTTCTGCTTATGACATAAATATAAGGTCTATTAGATTTCCTTCTCTGAAACTCAGGCATTGTCCTCTGTTGCATGCCTGTTGAAGACTGTCATCTCAATGAGTCATTTTGTCACATGGCTTCCCAACAGGATCCCCTTGTGGGAACAGGAAAGAGCAGGGAGACATGATGTAGAGGCAGAATAGTCAGAGACTGAGAGCAAGATATTCCAAGGTATAAATGTTGGGTCCATCATTACTGACCTGTATGTAAGTTACACAACCTCAGTATCCTCCATTTTTTTATCTTCAATGGAGAATAGCAATACCTCCTACAATGGTCATAGGACCATTATGAGAATTAAAGTAATAAACTACAAAAAAAGGACTTTTTACAATATGCAAATGAACATGTGTTGATGAGTTCATACCTTAAACGTAACTATCAACATGAAGAAAATGGATGTTAAAAGTATAGGAAATGTCTCCTTCATCCTTTCCAATCTTTCCTTAGTGTGAGCATGTCAGTCGAGATCTATCTTAAACTCTGGTAACAAGAATGTGTGCTGTGCTAGGTCAGCAGCTTCCTGCAGGACACCTGGACAGAAGGGTCCCTGGCATGCAGTTCTGGCACACGTCTCTCTGGTTATGTCAACTTTGCAGTGGGGAAACTCAAGCATTTCTATTGACTTCCACAGGGCTTATCAACCTGTAAAAGAAAAGGAGGCATCCGTGTCTTGAGAACAAGCCACTCTTTTCTATTGGGAAGGGTATCAACACACAATTTGTCGACCATATTTAGGATGGTATTTCTTATGATAGCTAATATATGATGAATGACAACATACAATCAACTTCCAGATTTTATGGGATAAACCAAAAGGAATTTGTGGGTTCTGTTCAAGACTACCAACTTGGTGAAGAAGTTCCAGAATCTAGAACTCTTAGGGGAAAACTTCCCTCTAATAATAATATAGAAGTCACTAAGCTCTAGGCAATTTCTAATTATTTAATGTATATCTAAGTTAACCCTCACAACAAGACTATGAGGGTGGTACTACTGTTGTCCATTTTACAAATGAGATGAAGACACAGGCAGTTCAACGACTTCTGTACCAGTCACTCACCAGTAAATGCCAAGCCGGCATTCAAACTCAAGCATTCCTGATCTCAAGGCTTTTGATAATCACCACACTGCTTCCCTACCCTGAGGAAGCTTTCCCAAGAGTTATAAAATAAGAAATAAGAGTTAGTATCCAAGGTCTTCTTGACATAAAATAGGTGAATATTTTGAGTAGACTATCAAATGCCTTTTCTCTAGTTTCCTACAAACTTTTCAAAGAAAATTATCTCTAGACACATCAACTAAAACTTGGGTATTAAGGGGAATGGTGTCTTCTCTATCAGTTACTAAGTCCCTCAGTTCATTCTTTTTAGAAAAAAAAACATAAAAAGGCTGATGGGTATTCTCCCAACCTAGGGTAGTGATTCTGCTATTTCAAAGAAGAGGTGGATGTGGGATTAGCCTCTCTGTACCTTGAAATGTCAACACATTTGCCAAAAATAAATTGATCAGTTAAATGTAGCCAAAATATTTAGTTTATCTAAGTGTCCTGCAAAGAAGAAATAGCTTACCACTGTTTTTACAGATTGAGGTAAATCTTACATATTATTGACATGTGCTATAGATTTAATTTAATACCATACTACAGATGTGTGCGCCGATAAGCTTTTGTTAAATCTAGGCTAAGATGAGTAGAGTTGTTTCAATATTTATGGGGTTGAAAATGCAGAGTTAGCAAAGGAAGCATTTTAATTAAAACAATATTTCCTCCTATATGCTCAGAGTAAAATACGGGGGAATTCTTTTAAAGAACTACTACTTTTTTCCTATATGGCTTCTGGGTTTTTAGGCCCATTGAAAGAGGTTGGAGTTTTATTTCCAGTTTTTAAAAATCTTTTGATTTTAGAACTATCCAAAATAAACTCACTAGTTTCTTCTGATAGTTCTTTCTCTCAATTAATGTTATGTGACTCTTTAAGTATGGTTTTTTTTTTAATTGTGTGTTTTAGGTATCCTGAAGATAACTTCAGTGGAAATCGGAGTTGTTGCCGTCAAAGCCATTAACAGCAACTATTACTTAGCCATGAACAAGAAGGGGAAACTCTATGGCTCAGTAAGTATTCTGCTTTTATTTTCAAAATTCACTGCAGTGAGTGACTACCACAGTTTTGGAATGTTTCCCCCAGACATTGAATAGCTTTGTTATCATTCCATAGCTAATAAATAGAGCCACAGTGGGCTGGTCGGCAGAGTTTCAAGGGCTGGCAGGGCAGTTCTCTATAACCCCCCGCCATTCGCCCATTAGGGTGCCACGCAGGCTGTTGCTGCCATCTGTCAGCCCATGCTCTGGGTTGGTCACCAGTCAGGCTCTCCCAGAAGCATCTAGCCAGACTGGCATTGGCACCGCAGAAGACTCAGACAAGATCATTGAAAACAAAGATCTTGAATTGAGTAGAAAACCATGTAACATGTGTGTTGCAGCTGAAGATAAAACAGGGATTTGGATGATTTGTATTCCATCAAAATCTGAAATGGGGAGATGTAGCAAAAATTTTATCATTTCACATGCTATTGGAATCAGCTCCAGAACTTCATTTACCTAGACAATAGACAATGGTGATTAATTCTGTCATCAAGCTGGAACAGCGGATGCTTTAAGTAGATTCATCCTGGTGTTCCATAGCAAATATTAAGAAATATCACTTTAAAATGTATAAATAAACTTATTTTGTTGATTAACATAGGACGGGAGTGCCAGCAGCTTTCACACTTGTGTATGTGTACGGATTTAATAAATCACTGGATTTATTAAAACACATCCCCAGATCTTCTGAATTAGTAAGTCTGTGGTAGGATCTAAGAATTTGCACTTGAACAAGGTCCCAGGTGTTCCTGGTGCTACTGGTTTGGCAACCACAAGTTGTCAATCATGGGAACTTGATTCCATAATTGGTCTAGACATAGAATAAATCTTGTATTTCATTCATATCAGGTCCACTTAAAATTGGAGAGTCAGACATACTTTGGTTCAGTCCCTTTGATTGGAGTAAATATTTTTTGGATGGGGGGAGTGAGAAGAATTTTAGTTAAATTTTCCATTATATATTGCTCTATTAAGGAGCCTAGAAAAGTAGTAGACTATTTTAAAAAGTGGTTTCAGTTAGGGGTTCATATCATAATCACTTTTGAGGCTTTTTCTTTTTTCAGTGAGCATGCCCAGGTCCCTCCTTAATTACTACTACCAGAATTACTGGGTAAAAAGAGATTCTGATACATACACACAGTCAAGACCCATACTTTAAAGTCAGCTACTGTGAATTTAGATTGAAGAGAAAATGTAAAAAATTACTTGCATGAAAAGATTGAAACCATTTTTAATTGATAAAGTACACTTTTTAAAAAGGTGACACCAAGGAGAAATAAATAACTCAAATTAGGCACGGCATACAAGTATTTAACACCGTTCCTCCCCCTCCCCCATCCTTTTCTCTGCCCCAGCTTGGCCCATGCACTGCGCCAACACTTCTTCCCGAGCTCTGAGGTCTATGAATTATTTCATTCTCTCTCTTCACCTAAAGTAGGTGCCCAGCTGCTTTCTGTCACACTACCCCATTTTATGATCTGCAGTGTGGCTCTTATCAGATATTTCTCTCATTAATGTGTTTTTAGCTGACTTCCTTCTCCTGGTAGATGAACTTGAGGAGGGCAGGTCTGCCTTGTCCTCCACCATTTTCTCATCACTTAGAACCATACGATCCACAGAGTTGCACAAAGCTCAAGCCTAACAACCTCTCCCACTAGCTCAGCCCACTGCAGTCTACGCTCTCCACCTCCAGCCTGTCTTGGAAAGAAACCCATTCTCTAACCACAGTGCACTGTCCTGCGATTCTGCATTACCATCTGGAAGAGTGAAAAGTTGTAACTTTTCAAATTGAGTGGACTATCTCGTCAAGTTGAATGTCCTATTCAGGATGGAATTGGAATAGGAACTTAGCATCTAAAGCAGAGGTGACAAACACACAGCCAGCAGGCCGAATCCGGTCCTCCACCTTGTTTTACCCAGCCTGGCACCTCGTTCTATCTCATGGCAGCACTGAGCTCTTACATCTATACAGTCCTAAAATTACACTGGGCCCTCTGAAGGCAACCTCGAGGCTGATGTAGCCCCCCGGTGAATATGAGTTTGACACCCCTGCTCTAAAGGGTATACCATCAAAATACATGAGGGTACACCTAATATAATTCTTTATGCCATGTGACAACACTTGTAATTCCTGCCTTCGTTGTGGGGGGAGATAAATCCCATTGATGTCATAAGCCTTTTTAAAAATATCAGTTAAGCCCTGACTGGTGTAGCTCAGTGGGTTGAGCATGGGCCTGTAAACCAAAGTATCAAGGTTCGATTCCCAGTCAGGGCACATGCCTAGGTTGCAGGCCAGTTCCCAGCAGGGGACACATGAGAGGCAACCATACGTTAATATTTCTGTCTCTCTCTTGTTCCCTTCCCCTCTAAAGATAAATAAATAAAATCTTTTAAAATATATATCAGTTAGGTACCCAGAGTGATTGATTAAACCAGTTCCTTATTCTAGTCTCTCTTGTGTTATTCTCCTCTATTTCCTTTTGGAAAATGTATACCTCTTATATTTTCATCATTCATTTTCTGAACAATGCATCTATTGTATTATTAGTGTTCTCTTGATTGACAGAGTCAAGAAAACAAATAAGAAAACTGAATTTAAACAGAACAGGCCTCAAAGAGCATGATGTAAGGACCAAAGAAATTTACTGTTATCTCAAAGAAATCTAAAACTTTTTTCTAAACTAAGGCCCTACTTTGAGATCTAACTTGAACCTAGGTTTTAAAAAAAACTTTAATACTTAGGATTTACCTAAATGCTACAAACAACCTAGTTCTTGGCCCCTCCTGCAGATATTCTGGTGCAGCATTTGAGCTGTGCTCTAAATATTAAAAACATCTGAGAAGAGGTGTCCGCCACAGGTACACCTCACTTTCAGAAGCATCAACCTACACATTTATTCCAGGGAGGAGAAATAGTTAAGTATCTACTGCTCCGTGTCTACACACAGCTGTTTCAAATACAAAATTACTTAAAATCATCTTAGTCCTCCCAGTGTCTAAACTGCACCCAGTTTATTGAAATTAATATAATTATCCATGTAAAAAATCATCTTTGCTTTGAAAACCATACAGTTTTATATATTTTTAATATGTTAATTTTGAGAGAGAGAGAGGGAGAAACACTGATTTGTTGTTCCACTTATCAATGCATTCACTGGTTGGTTCTTCTATGTGCCCGGCCAGGGATTAAACCTGCGAACTTGGCATATCAGGACGATGCTCTAAATGACTGAACTACCCTGCCAGGGCTAAAAACCATAGAGTTTTAAGCAAACTAAGATGAATAAGTAGGAAAAAACCCTACTAATGATTTTAAAAGGCAGAATTTTTATCATATTAAAATCTTTACCTAAAACTATGTACCTTTTTTTACTTTTAACTAAATAAAGCATTCGAATGTTACTTTTAAATATTACTTTATATAAGAGAAGCACACAGGATAAATTAATTCCAGGTAACCAAACTTAAACTAACCACAGTTAAAATAAACTATAGCTGTTTAGGATGACTGACAATTTTCAAAATTATGATCTAACCCACAGAAACCTGAACATTTAAGATACATATGTTTAGGAATTTTAAATTAAGTAGAAATTTCAAAAAAGTGAGAGAAACTGTTTGAACTGCCCAGTAGAGACCTCAACTGAAATATGCCTCCAATGCTATTCATTGGTTTAGATGGAGAAGGTAGAGCCAGAAGAGAAAAAGCCCCAATTCTTGAGCTTCTTAACTCAAGAACTATAGTTTGGCTATAAGGGAAGAAGGACAGTTTTGAAGCCAGAGTTAAGAGATTAGTGAGGTACCTTCCCTTTGTTATTAACTCCAGAGTGAGATCCTGGATTTATGGAATGAATAAGACATCAATCCTTGTCCCAAAAGATTCCCTTAAAAACACATGGTCACTTGAAACGAAGCCAAAGCATGATAGCCATAGAGTGGAATTTCCCAAGATCAAAGTCCTCAGGCCTATCCAATATAGGCAGTGCTAGTCACCGTATTTATAATTTCTTTGATATGGTAATTTACAAAGTAAGGCACTCCATTTCCTACTTTTCGATCATTCCTAGATCTCAGAATAAAACTTATCAAAATTCCAAATTATGGAAAATTGTACATAATTTTCAAAATTGAGAAATCTGGAATTTAGAAGAGAGGAAGTCACCCCTGCCTCCACCCAGCCTCGCAGTTACCTAGATCTATTATGGTTTTGCTATGAGATCTGCTTTCTCATCAGTGCGGGTGTGTTCATTGTGGATTTACAGGTAAAGTTTGAAAACTTAAAAAGTCCACCTTTTTGTGTAATTTCATTTTTCCCGTGCAGTACCCTAGTTACTACTCTGGAAAAAAAGATTTTTACACTGTTCTTTACCATAGACTCATCACATAGATTGTCCATGGCATGTTTGTTTCATGATAATTGTCATGGGCACTTACACCATGTCATATTCAAGGTGTGCCAGCTTTTTAAGAGGACCCCAGTATGAGGTTATGATGGCCAATTAAAATAACTATGTGCCTTCAAATACGGAATCTGCTTCATGCTTATGAGTTTAACTCTTCTGTTGTAGACACTGTGTATTAATTGCACAACTTATGGACAAATGTCTGCAGCAAACAAGCTACAGCTAACTACAGCCTTGAACTGGGTGGGGTTCTACAGATGGTTTGTGTCAATGGAATCAAGTATTGTCATCGCAAGAATAAAAGATCTTGTTTTTTCTTTGCAGAAAGAATTTAACAATGACTGTAAGCTGAAGGAGAGGATAGAAGAAAACGGATACAACACCTATGCATCCTTTAACTGGCAGCACAATGGGAGGCAGATGTACGTGGCACTGAATGGAAAAGGAGCTCCCCGAAGAGGACAGAAAACTCGAAGGAAAAACACCTCAGCTCATTTTCTTCCCATGGTGGTGCACTCGTAGAAGGCAGTGCTTGTGGGTGCAGCAGAACCGGAGGCTCTTTGGCCGGGAATAGTGGGTATTCTTCATGAAGATAATAACTCAAAAGGCAAAGACACACAGCAGACATCTGTTTGCTCGAAAGAAAGGGAATCTTGGATGGTTTTTTGTACTCACTGCTGAAGTATGAGGTTCTTTTATTTAGTCCGTATCATGCCTTATAACTGAGATAGAGGTGGATCAAGTGGGATGGAAGTTATTCCCAAGCGAACAACCTTATGGCTAGGTTTTTGCTTGAATTTTGTTTTTTAACATCTGAGATAGAACGTAAAGGACATGAAACAACCTGTTGAATGATCTTTGGAAAAGTTATTTATGGAATATGAACTCATATCAAAGACCTACACTGCTCATTCAAGCCTGACGATTCAATGAGCAGTAAGACATGCGTGCATGTGCTGGAAAGCACTTGGGTGATGCTTGTGCACAACCAAAGGAGCTCTGGGCATGGCATCATGGAAGCATCGGATAGGACTGAAAAATGTACACAAGTTAGTGTGAAACTGTTCTAACAAAACCAATAGTACGGTATGCTTGTGCATTCTGCCTTCATCCCTTTCTATTTCCTTCTAAGTTATTTATTTAATAGGATGTTAAATATCTTTCGGGGTTTTAAAGAGTATCCTCAGCAGCTGCCCCCTGATTGGCCCTTTCTTTTTCTTCAGCACACCACATGCATGTTCATGACAAAGCGTTTTTAGAACTTGGCAAACACTTCCGGACGAGGACCTGACATTGCAGACAGAAGCAGAGTGAGTGCCCCACAGGCCATCCGTTGACTTAATCAGCATGTCCATAATGAGAACCATCAACCATACCCATCTGACAGTGCTGTGGCATGGCTTGAGTGACAGATGTCTCCCATCGTTTAGAAACGTATCACTGCTAAGTCTTCCTTTCCTAAGACCTAGACCAGAAGGCTAAACTTTTCTCTTCCAATACATCAATGGGTCTCCAAGAATATACCAAAAGAAGGAAAATTAATTGTTAAGTACACCTTAGTAGCCTAGCCTTATTATTTACTAGTGATTTCCTGTCATGTGTCACAGTGGGAGGTGATGAGGAGGCTGTCTTTGTACAGGAGAATGCTAAGCCCCGCCCCCGGGGTGCATCTTCCCCACGGGAGGTCTAAGGAACTTGGTATGAAGGGCAACTTTCCCAGGGGCTTCACCTAAGCAGATGTATCCTAGTATATGTGTAACCATGTACTGAAACCTGTTCCATCCGTACGATCTAGTCTTTACACAACCAAACACAACTTCCTTTCTGTAGATTTGAAGACTATAACGTGTTGAAATTCATCTTGTTAGAGCAGGCATAGGAAACAGTGCATCAGGTTGTATTCTACTAAAGAAATACATAAGCCTTATTTGCAGTGTCTGTAGTGATTTTAAAAATGTAGGAAAATACTATTTGTTCTAAATATTTCAAGTGGTAACTATAAGAGTATGTTGATGCTGCCATTTTATCTTCCTATTTCTTGTCTTGAAAAGGTCTGTGTATTGTTTGGATGTGATATTTTGGAACAAGAAAAAAGACTCACTAAACGTGTTCTTTTACTAAAGTTTAACCTCTAGAAAGGCTGGTGGTTTGTGATCTTCTCTTAGAACTTAATTGTGTCAATGCTTAACCAGCTCTTCCAGTTAATCTGTGATTTAAGAATTAGCTTTATTAAGAAACTTTCCCATAGAGTAATCCTACAAAAGGTCATATTTTTCTCATTCCTTAAAAATTTGGGGATTTCTAAAGAAATGCATCCGAAGCAGTAAATTGGCTTATGGCTTAAGTTGCCTTTCATGGCACCTGGCTTCCAACTTGCTTTTTGACAAATGAGATAACTAAAAATGTTTAATTTTTGCAGTTGGACTCCGCAGGTTAAAATTGAATGAGTAACAGAGTCTGGGACCTACAGTGTAATGCATTCCTCTCAGAACTAGGTTACCTTTGTTCTTTTATTTTAAAATAATAATTGCACCTGACACATGAACACGGACCACCCACAACCCAAATTAAATGTTTGATGAGACCAATATAGTATTGGATGACCGTGGTAACAGCAGATAGGGCACAAACTGGGTTCCGATTTCACATGGCCATTTAGATTGCCACAGAGACCGTGTAAACAGTCATCATTATGTACTCAGAACAGCAAAACAGCTCCTAGCAACATGCATCAAAGCTTGCAGAAGCAAAAAATGAAAACCATCTCCCTTTCCTCTCCCCCCTCCAACACACACACACACACACACACACACACACACACGCAAATTGACAGAGATGCAGAAACATTCTGATAAGGAGTAATGAGGTTCTCCTGTATTTAAAAATGGCATCTTTGCTCGATATTGAGACAGAATTCTGGTCCTCTTTGCCGCTGGATTGTGCTACTGGAGAAAAAGCAGTTCCAGTCCTGAATGTTGTATATTTTTTTAAAAAATCATCACGATCTTGGGAGCTCTGCCTCTGTGGGAACTGTCTTCCCCCAACCCCCGGCCCAGCCACAAGGTCAAGGTACATCAGCCAGAAACGGGCATCAGCCTTGAGCTCAGGCTCCTGAGGAGACGCGTCATAAAGACACAGCATCCCTCTCTCCTCCCACCTCCCAGATGGCTGAACAGTGTATAGCATGTTACATTTAAATAAATTAATAAAAATGCTGGAAAAGGAAAATAAAGATATCGTCCTTGTTTGCTTTATTAGCCTAAAACCTCACCTGGTCCTAAAGAGAGACGCTCCTGGGTCGTGTGCATGGCAGGATGTGGTTAAATGCCCCGCAGCCCCAAACAACAACAACTGAGAAAACATCACTCAACCATTTGTAAGATTTCTTTAATGCTTTACATGTGTGAGGCCGCTATCCCTACTCTAATAACAACCAAATGCTTTCCATTTTTCCCCACGTAGCCAGGTCCACCTCGTTTACACAGTGGATAAAGGAGGATGGATTGAACACGGGAATGGCTTGTGAAACAATGACACTTTTGGAGGAAGGCCAGGGGGCTGCCAAATCTGATTTCAAGGGGGTAGAGCAGGCCAGTGACTTTGATTGGGAAAGCAGAGAGAAAACAAAATACAGAATCACTTGGATCCAGGGCCCACACAAGGTTATTGACACTATTTAAATAGATACACATTCATGCCACACAGATTTAGTGATTTTGATATTGTGAATTCAGGGTTTATGCTTATCCGCAAAAGTAAGATTTATCTTCTCCTTGTCATTGTTTAAATACAGATAGCTGTAGGAAGCCATGATATATTTCAGGGAAGATATCAAGTTCATTAGAAGTAGCACATTTACAGTTGGTGAACAATTCTTTTCTATTTCACTGCACGGGACTCCGGCCACTTACCCTAAGCAGTAAGAAAAGGAAGGGGGCATTTTGGAAGGAATCCTGGACAGACAGGGCAGCTCTATGTGCACCAGGACTAGGACTAGGACAGGACGCAGTTAAGACCCGCCTCCTTTCAGGCTCTCATTTTGCTCTTATCTCTGATTGGCTTGATTTGCTTGGCTACTGCTTGCGTCCAGTTTACTTCTTTCCAACTCCAACACCCAAAACCTTTTTCTCAAGGCCCTAAAATGGAAACATCCTAGGTATGAGTCACATGGGCCAAGTCTGAATAACACACCGACCTCTAGAGCAACCCGTGTGACAAGGGATATGGGCATTGTGATGACCAAGCTTCGGTAACACGGCCAAGGTGACAAGGTGTGGATTTTGGCACCCTCCGCAGTTGGAACTAATAGAAAGCAGTGTGCCAAAGGGCAGTGCTGGGCAGTTCAAAAACACAACGGTCTTTATCGACATCTGCTTAAATGAGACTACTGACTTACATATCTTTAAATCCTGCATTTGTCACTAATTCTAATTAGCCTCCACCTATTTATTCAAATCAGAGATTTCAAGATCTTATTCTATAATGCATTTTTTTTTAATGGGGAAGATTGGATTTGTCTTGTTTTGTTTTGTTTTAAAGCCAAGACCAGGGCTCTGACGATAGCCAGGCTCACTATAATTCTGCAAACTTCACAGAATGATCATTGAGATGAATGCAAGTTTTCACTAAGTAAAAAAAAGGTGGTCCTTCTACTAAGTATCAACCTATATCACAACGTGACAGTATAAGTATTCCTTTAAGTTTATCCCAAGAGTTTATGTACTAGTATTTTCAAGTATATCAACATGTAGAATAAAATCTAAAAATGAAATGCCATTTGTTTTTTTAATTGTAAAATAAAAAATAAAAAGAAAAAAATCTGCTTTATATCTTTTACTATGTCTTGTGTACATTCAATGAAATTTCAAAAAACTTTATAATGTGCATTTTTCTTTCTTTTGCTGGTTAGAGAGCAATAAAACACAAAACGCCCTTAGAAGTGAATAATCTACCAGAAACACCTCTGCAAACCCTGTATATTATTTAAAATGGAATATTCATGATCAAACCAGTGAGATCAGGGGAACTGATCTCATTCCTAAGTGGCTAATAATGAACATTTCCAGGTGGTGGCTCCATGATAGAAGCTATAAGGATCATAGTTCTATACTCAAAGAGAAAGCCATATGTCGACCATATATTCATGTGGCAAGTATTATCTACCATATTTTTATCATCCTACAGAAAGCGTCTACGTTCATGTTCTAATACAGGTGATTGCGTCCTCCAGAGATGAGCGCGGCAAATGGAGAACCAGAACACCCCAGGGCCTCATTGCAACTGTAAACTGAACACGTGCTTCCGTGTAACTCAGGCAGGGACCCAGCTGCAGAAAACCAAGTGCGGCAAAGCCTCGTCCTCTTAAAATTTGGGTTTAATCACCTTATACATGCCTCAAATGCCCAAATAATCTTACAATTTTCTAAATGATTTAGTTATCATGTCTGTGGTCGATTTAAGCTGCTGATAATGCAGATATTCCCAGAGAAGTCTTTCAAAAAGAGTGATTTAAAATCAGCATTTCATGAGGTACTGTAAATCAAGAAAAGACTGCTTTTTATGGTTATAGGAAACATTTAGGTTAGGGGTCACTTATCAATTCAAGTCAACCTTAAAAATATTTAACAGCTGGTATTGAAACACCAGACTTTTCAATAACCATTTTTTTGGGGGGACAGTCACGATCAAAGTGTTCAGACATGAAGCAATGTCTACAAAAATTACATAAGAAAATATCTGCTTGAGGGGAGCTTTTTTACTAAGAAAAACAAAAAAGGAAACCCAAAAATGGCACTGTGTAAAGACACAAACAGTATCTTATTAGTTTTCCTGATAAATTGAATATTGGATGTAAAGTGCATTTTACAACGCAAGCTTAGCCTCATGCAGGAAAAAAGAAACTCAACAGGAACTTTTTTTAAATAGTATTTTTAAGTCAGTTTGGCAATCCTTCCTCCTTATCTTCCCGAGGAGAATTCTGCATTCCATCCCCCAAGATCCCCTGACAAGTAGTCAAATCAGCATATTTCAACTGCAACAGTTTCTCTTTCTCCTCGTTTTTAACTCCAGGTGATGTTTAATTGCTGTGTGAAAAGCTCTTTCCTTAAGACTCAGAGATAGACTTTAGACCAATACCTACTCGAGCTACTTAAGTGAATGAAGACTCCGCAGTCATTTTAGCGGAGACTATTGGAAGCGATTAATTAATATTGGGTACCTGGAATTATTGTTAGTCTCCTGTCTACATCTTTTTAAATGTAATTTTACTCTTTTTTAAGAACCTATTTATTTATTTTTAGAGAGAGGGGAAGGAAGGGAAAAAGAGAGGGAGAGAAACATCGATGTGTGAAAGATACATTGATTAGTTGCCCCTGGTACGACCCCAACTGGGGCCCTGGCCTGCAACCCAGGCAAGTGTCCTAACTGAGAATCAAACTGGTGACCTTTTGCTTCACAGGCCAGCACTCAATCCACTGAACCACACAGCCAGGGCCCTGGTCTCTACTTTTTAATCATGTTTGTCTCCATGTATATAAATATTCCATAGTGACAAAATTCATGGTTTCTAATCATTGAAGTTATTCATTACTAGCATTGGAAAAAAATACATACAAAATGTGGCCACAGGGCCTGTGGTGGGTTAGAAGTCCTAACCTCTGCCGTTCTTGGCCGTTCACACCAGAGGTAGGTTCCACCAGAGGTGGGTTCTGGTTCCAGCAGAACGCGGATTCCCCGCGTTCACATTGACAATACCAGCTTCCATCTTCCCCGTCCTAATTTTCCCAGTAGAATTGCAGAACCAACTTTTGAATCCAAATACATTACTGAACAGGTTTCTAGGATCCTTCTGTGTGAGACCACAAGATAGGAGGATAATAAGGGTCTCCTTCTCCAAAACCTCTAGTAAATCCACTTCTAAAAACTGATAAGGATCTTCTGTAAATGGAGACACATTTGCCAAATGTTCTCTCTTCCTTTCTTTTCTCTCCCTCTAACCACTTACCAGTGAAGCCAATCATCTCCAAGATTCCTAAGGTGCTCCATATTTTACCCCCATTTTTTACCATCTCAGCCTCCATACTCATCCTGCACAACTGGTAGTTAAGCAAGCAAGGGTCCAGCAGGCCCCCAACAGAATAGAATTACTGTGGGAGGGCCCCGTGCTGAGTCACTGCTGCAAACAACCACCGGAGTACTCGGCATCCCGAACATCACAGGGTGGTTCAGAGGCTCCCCGGAGTCCTATCGCTGGAAAACTTGTTCGAAATTCGTCTCATACTGAATGCAGTAAATCGCTGTAGTGTAGATCGCTGTCATTCTAGTTATATCCCAACTTTATAAATAATAAAATTACGGACCATTTCCTTGCCCAGAACTCACCACTAGGGAATGAATGCAGGTCTCCTGATACCAAAACCACACTTGCCTTCATTACATGGGCACACTACCAAAAAAATTAAACCTGTACCATTTACAGCCCAGTGTTTTCTTCAATTTTTTAGAAATGCAATTCTAAGGATAATGAAGCTGTTTCATTTTAGTGACACATTTCTCTTTATGAATACTTTTTTGGGAGGAAGAGCACGTATTTTTTCCATCAGAGAGACGATTTTTAATGCTGGCTCTGCCACTTCTGGCAGTATAAACTTTGAAAAGTTGCCTTGTTTAAAATAAGAATGAATGACCGAAACCCTTGAATACATCTAACACAGTGATAAAGATTGAATGTTACATATTAACTGTTTTTTTATAACAGCTAATGATCAATAAGTGCTCAATACAGGTTCATTTTCTGCCCTCTTTTGGGTCAGTTGTGAACATTTATTTTAATAATTTCCTAATGTGAAAAACTAATGACTGAATATCTCTACATTCCCTTGAGATTACTTTGTGACACAGATATCCACTTTATGTATTCTTTCTTTCTTCTGACCATTGATTAGACCACCATTGCATGTTAAAACACCACTTCTAGGCACTGTGAATACTGGGTTCAGGGTCAGCTCCAAGGAGGGAATGTGTGTCTGAACCACAAATTTCCCCCTGGAAAGGAGGGCTTTCTAAGGCATTAGAACACAGTAGGTAGAAATACAGTGGAAAGAACCCAGGCATAGACACAGCTTGCTCGCTGCAGGTAAGGAGGTGGCATTATCTGTGGACTGAGATTTACAATATTTCCTTGAAAGGAAGGAATGAGCATTTCTAGAAAGTTACACATGTCTCAGTAGAGCAACAGTTTGGCAATTATTCAGCCTTTTTTTTTACCACCTAATACAAAACATCATTTTCATCAACAGTAGAAGTGGTGATTGTCCAACCCACAAAGTATAGCAGGTACAAAAAACAGGCAGAGAGCTCGTGTATTTTACACTCTGTGGCACCTTCTGCTGAATTCTTAATCCTTTTGAGACTATATTGAGAAATAGTAAAAGCTATGCCTACATCTTTGTTTCCAAGAGAACTATTCAGTGTTTAGAATCCTGCGGAGAAGTGGGTGGCACACTGCCCCGATCCCCTTTCAGGACCTAGGACTCACTCCCCAGCTGCTCAAGGCAAGTGGCAGGACCCACCCTACCCCTACCCCTACCTCCATGGAATGTGCAGCCAATGACAGCTCCATGTTGGGTGGAAAAGCCTTGTCCCTTGGCTCAACGGGGGATAATTCCATAGGGTCATCCCCTGTGGAATCAGCAGAGACATTTGTTGGGACTGCATCTCAGATCATCTCCCTTCCCTCTGCCGGACTCTGCTTCCTTCACTCCCACCCGGGTGCCCCAAGTGCTCTCCAGCAAACTTCCTCCCAGCCAACCTCTATCCCAGAGTCTGTTTCCCCTGGAACTAGATCCAAGACATCTCATACGTGCAGCTGGTTTGTTTTTGAGGTGGGGACGATTTGACAAAACGGGAGCAAACCAGCTATTTCTTCTTCTGAATGATGGTTGCCTCTGTTTTAGCTTAAATCGTATATGAGTTTACAAAGCCAATGGGAGAGTTTGGACACACAATGCTTCTAAGGAACAGACCAATGAGAGAGATGCTTGGGACCAGCTCTGTGGTGCCAACAGCACTGGGGAATGAGAATGGGATCGCCAGCCTAGTGCCAGGTTAGAAACCAAAGGCACTGGGCACTGAGCTAAGTGCCAACACGAGACAGAAGCAAAACAGCAATGGTCTGAAATCTTTCTCTTTTGAAGTTACGAAAGAACCAGCAAAGAGAACCTGTGAGACAGTTCCGTTGTGTAGAACCTAAGGTTAGAAAAGTATACTCAACATTTCACACATATACAAAAAAAATTCCCAAATGTGTCCTTACAGGAAAAATAAAGTCCGTGTAAAAAGTAAATGAGAGATGTATAAGTATACAAACTCTACTATCCTGAAGAGGGTTCACTTCAATTTACCATGAGGCCAAAAGGCAAAAAAAAATAATATTCTCAAAACTAAGAAACTTCCAAAGTATCCCATCCAAACAGTTTCTGGGACCTAAATATTTGTCTTTTATAAAGAAAATCACTGATAACAATTTGCTATTATTTTTTTTCCCAAAGTGCTATGTTGAAATTCCATTACTGGGAACCTCAAACGTCATTATCCAGGACAATTCCCTATTATTATGTTGGAAATGGAACTTAACTTTAGGTTTCCAATTCCAAGTCCCAAGTGGGAACTAAATGTCACAGAACAAAATGTCACGCAATGAGATCGGATACTAAAGTATGTGACAGTGAGCAGATGTTTCCCTAACAATTACCACATAGCAAAAGCCAGT